GAGACACGCCACAGAGCCTCGGGGCTCCTTAGGCCGGCTTGCGGACACACGGGTACCGCAAGAGGGCAAGACCAGTGATTGGTCGAGCCGGCGGGGGGCTGTGGCGCGACGGCGGGGAGGTATAGGCGGCTGGGACACGGATTGTCACACAGAGGCCTGCCGGAGAGCTGCCTGGGCAGACTCCCCGCGGCTTTTTATTACAGGAGTGTCTGTTTGGTACAGCTGTTACTCATTGGTTCATCCCTCTCGTCACCCTTCCGAGTCCACTCACACTCCCAGACAAGAAAAGACCCAATCAGTCACACATTCCTCGACAGTCCACCCCGTACAATCACATGCCAGCCAGACTCCCACACACTCCTCCTCCGCCAGGGATTCCCCTTGGACAGCTCCAGACGTGCCAGCTGGCTTCAGGCGGCCTCCAGTCATCGCGTCATCCGCCAGCGTGCACCTCGTCCTGTCACGATCGCCGCCCCGTCTACCGATTTTCAGTAGTCCGCGCCCTTCATCCACCGAATCCCGGCGGGAGCGATGGCGTCATCACCCTCTCGTTGCGCGTCCCATCAAAACCGGGTGGCAAGGCAGGTGTCGTCACCTCGGCAGCGCCGATGGTTGCCGGTACTGTAGGCGGCTCCTCACTGGGCGCATCCACCATAACGTCATCCGGGGCTTGACCACGCGCCCGCGCCTCCCGGCGTTGACGCCGGATGGCCCTCCGCCAGGCGCATTCCTCCGCGCGTACCTCGACGTCCGTGTACGGTGGTTTGCCCGCGTTGAGTCGTCGCGCCACGATCACGCTGGCTTCCGCGAAGGCTGCCGAGGGCAGTACGGCGGCGTTCGGTTCAGTTTGGATCCCGAAGTCCTTCTTCCCGCGGGAAGACCTCAGACGCTCGTGATGGATGCGTCGCTACGTACTCGCGGCGGGTCACGCCTCCACCTTCCATGCGCCAACACCTCGCGTCCGAGAACGGCACGCTGATGTCAAGGCTGATGTGTACCTCGCGCCTGTAGTAATTCAATTCGGTGCCTCGCCAGGCCTCAACTCGACCACCCTCACGTTCGATCATCGCGGCGATCCGCTGCCGAAAGGCCTGCGTACCCATGCCGGTGTACGGCCGGTGCGGATGGGGATGCACCTGGAGGGTCCAGGGGCGGTACACGGCCTCCGGTTTGTAGTCAGGGTTCCAGTCTGGCTTCTCCCCTGGCTCTGGCAGATGTCCTGATGTCAGTTGCGTTGACTCCGTGTGCTCGTACGCCTCGCGCGCCTGCTCCTGCAGCTGATAGCGTAAGGCATCCTCTCCATGATCCCGCTGGTGATGCAGCCACTGCGCGTCCTCAGTGCTGAACGGCAGGATGACGGTGAGCCCGAAGCTCCAATACCCTTCCGGGCAGTCCGCCCTCTCGAGATACCATCTCGAGAGCCAGAGGTCGCCGAAGGCGAGCCACTGGGCGATCAGAAAGCGCCAGCTTTCGACCTGGCAGAATCGCGCTGCTGTCATGGCTGCTGGGAAACTGCCAACGAGCTGCCAGGCAGTGGGACTGGGAGGCGGGGCTCGCTGTGCAGGATGGTCAGAATGCAGGGGATCGCTGCTGTGCGCTTTGGCCGTTTTGGAGGTCTTGGACGGTGTTTGGATGTCGGACTGGTCGCTTGACGGCTTATGGGCGTGTGAGAGGATGTCGTTATCCCATGCTGGGCGTCAAAGTTGGATGGAACCTTGCATGTTGATGCGTAGTCGGTCATGTAGGGTAGTAAGACTGTATATTGGAGCTGGTTCCAGACCTGTGATCGCCGAGCGGCTTGACTTTGCACATTTCTGGTCAGATTGTAGCCTGTTGATTGCTCCTCATGCTGCCGCTATGTTCAGCTGTAAAATACTCTTGATGAAGTAGCTAATGTCGGTCGGGTGTTGCTGCTGGAAATGTTGCCTGTAGATGCTGCAGAGATGAAGTTGATGAAGTCATTTGCCTTGTCATTTATGGCCTGGAAATGGCCAACTTCAACAACACGTAATGGCCATTCAACATCATTATTTTCCTTTCATAGAGGTTACAGGTTTTATTGGATTGCGTACAAACGTATGCCCATAAATTTCAAGGTAACCTGTAATTTTATCATCATTTGAGTACATTACTGGCTAATAATGTAGTCAAATGTTGGCTCTATTTAAAATTGAGTCAATGCCTTAAGCACTGCGGATTTGGCAGCATTTTATAATAAACAAACCGAGACAAGTAGAACTCGAATTGTTACGTCGCTGCACAAACCGCCGATTGTGCAATGGTGAAAAGCAGCATTGGTCTACGCATTTATGCCACCATTTTCATATTTCACGTTCATGCGTAAAGCGTGTAGGCACTGAAACGGCTATTGGCACAGCTATGTGTATGTACTTTTCCGGCGCTTAGAAAATAAAATTACATGATGAAGTTGCAAAACAATGATCAGTCTTCCGGCCCCTCAAGCAATAGCTGTATGTATACAGGGTCTATATTTATGCATTTTTACGAGCTTGTTGTGCATAAGAAACTTAAAATTATTCTTACACGTAAATACGCAGAAACACGCCATGCTTAAGCCGTAAATACCAGGCCTGTCCACCCGCCATCTCGATCAGGTCGACGAGCACACACGTCAACAACCACATGACTGGCTGCATGCCGAACATGATAGCAATGACTCTGTGCCTGGCCTGCTGCCTCGTCCGACACAGTGCTGGCTCGCTCCACGATCAGTTCATCGGATTTGTGTGTCCCTGTCCCCCCCGCCCCTTGCCCTGTCTCACCAAAGCGGACACCAAAAATTTTCAAATTTTCAAATTTTCAAATTTTCCAAAAATTTCAGCGTCCCGTAGGGAGTTTTGATCGGATTGACTTTAAGTGCTGACCACAGAATCGCCATGCCACCTAGATACCGTGGTTCAAAGTTCCCGCTTTGGACGGCCTGCCAAGCGGCGTTACAAGGATGTCACATCTGGTGTCCCGCTGTCCTCCCGACTTTGGGCGGGAGCGCTGATCGCGCAAGCGCTCTGACCAGCGGATCGAAACGGAGCCCGCTTGTGAGTGGGCTGTTGCTCGCCTCTCAAATCCGCCACGGTTTCTTTCACGTAAACGCCCTGACATGGCTGCCGGCGCCACCCAGCCTTGGGCAATGCTCACCCTCCCAACACATTACGACCCAGCCGGCTTGGCGATGGAAGCTAGCGACGTGCTCGCCGTGAGTTCAGTCCCTCTAGCAGCACTCGTAAAAGCTCCTCGTGCTAGAGGTTGACAGGAATGTCGGGTGTGGGGCGATCCCAGATTTCGAGACCTTACCTCAAACCCACATACGCTATACAGGACCGGCGTGAGGCTAGAGAGGTAAGCGTTGCCAACTATCGATCCCTAATGTGGCTTGACCAAAGGACGTGTGTTCTCGGTCGTTGGCAAGGCCTGCTGAATGGGAGTGAGGCGCTTTGTGGCAGACGAACTAATGCGGCCACCCTCCTGGGATCGTCACAAATTTTTTACTGCGACGCGATCCCCGCGATTGACACGAAGGTTCGATGTCCGAGGGTGAAGAACTACCTGCAGGGGTGTTTGGGTGGCTCCCCACGGCCTCTTGGGAGATGCCAAAGCGGGGTAGGGCAAAAACTTAGGACGAATGCATACCCTGGCCCCCAAACCCCATTCCTGAGTCGTCCATCGGTGGACGCAGCTGCGGGCATTCGAACCAAACGTGCATGCAAGCGGTCGCCAGCTGCTGTGCAGCGCAGCCTGAACTTTGACCCCGCGATTCCCCACGTGCGTTTTGAATTGCAAGGTCGCATCGAACATTTGGGCAGCAAACAGTTTTCCTGTTGGGCGTCGTGCAAAGGCAACGAAAATGGTGAGCAATGGCGCACGTTGCCGGAGCACTCTCAGGCCGCAGTCACAGCAGTCCATACAGCATGAACCGCCATCGCGTGGTGTCCCAGAATTTTGGCCCTCGTCTCGTGCTGCAGTGGCCAACAAGGAACGGACGGTTCCTTGTGGAGCCGCTTGCACGGCGGCGAGCATAGGTGTCTGATATTTAGGCATCTGATCATGGAGTTAACCTGCGCCTTGCTATGAGGGCACGACTGGAATATACATCTTAAAGAATCACATGCGGGCTTGGGTTTACTGCATAACACGTGATTTATTTACTTGTGGTTCTGCATAACTTCACTTAAATATAGTGTTATACACAAGAACAATATATATAGTATTTACATTTTCATGCACAAAAGCGAGTAAAATTATGCAAATATTAGGTCCTTTGTACATATAGACAGTACAAGCAAGAATCAGGGAGCCCGGGGAGTGGTGAGAAGCCGCTTCTCGACCCAAACCACGTCGTTGTTACCAAGCCGTACCTCGCCCGGCGAGGCTCGCCGCCGTGGTAGGTTCCAAGGGATTACGTGACGGGGCCCCTAATTACGTGTGCCATTGCGTGTTGATTACGTGTACGGCGCCCGCAATGCCCGGCAAGACATCAGCATCGCGAGTCGCCGCATCGCGAGGCCCCGCCGTTGATCGTCTTGCCGAGTCCGCGACTCGCTCCCTGCACCCTGCGCACTCGTAATACATTACTCCACCTAATACCGGCCGTCTAGTACATTGCTCGACCGCCCTTTTCGACGCTGAGACTCGCGACACGAGCACGCGGCGATGGCCCCGGACCCTGTGCCGGACCCCCGGAGGGTTTGATGTTGTCGTATGCCGGCCTGCCAGGTTGGCTCCTCGGCAGTACGGCCGTGGTGTACCGGGCTGCAGCGCCACCGTGTGCCCCATGGTGCTGAAGCCCACAGCAGCGGGGCTTGAAGGGCCTCGACGGAGGAGGGCGCCGCGTGCCTGGTCCTGCCCGCGGCAGCTGCCGGCCAGCCGCTTTCAAAAGTAGAACCCCTGGCAGCCCGCACGGGCTGCGACCCCGCCCTGACCCCCGGGGCCCAAGGGCGCCCTCGCTTGCCCCAATTTCGATCCCGGCGCTGTTTGCTTGGCGGATGGGCTGGACGGGGGAATTGCTGTGCCTCCTGGGGGCGAGGTTCCCCGACGCGGCGCTGGAGCACCGGTATCGGGAATTCCGGACGAGGAACTACTTCCTCAGGGACGACGGATTCCAGGCGGGCCTGCGCGCCTTCGCGATCGGCGCCCTGGGCATGCGTGGGCTCGTCAAGTCCGGGCCCACCCCCGGCACGGCGGTCATCTTCTTGATGTTCGTGGCGCCGGTGCTCCAGCTGGCGATGCGGTCGCTGGCCGACCGGCGGGGCCGCACGGAGGCCGCCCTGGCTGCCTACATGGGCCAGCGCTGCGCCTGGGCGGCGCTGTCCCGCACGCTGCTGTGCCCCCTGGTCGTGTGCACCTACTTCCTGGAGTTCTTCCAGCAGCCGCCGGGGCCGTCGGCGACCTGGTTCCGGCTGTCCTCCTACGTCCTCTACAGCACCGGCGCCATGGTCCTGTTCCTGTCTTGCGTGGGCTACCCCGTCCTGCTGGAGCACCACCTGGCGATCCAAGCCCTGAGTGTGCTCATGGTCGCCTACTGGCGGGCGGGGCCCTTCTGCCGGGAGGCCCTGGCGGCCGACGGCGGCCCCGAGCACGTGCTCGCCGCCTGGCGCGCCCTGGAGGCCGCCTCTCGCTGGGTCTTGGCCGCAATGTACATGCGCGAGGTGCCCGCGGCGCCCGAGCCCGATCCCATGCCCGCCTGCGGGCACGTGGTGCTGGCGATGTACGGGTGCGTGGGGCTGGCCGCCACCACCTACGTGCTGTGGCTGGTGGAGCACAAGTCGAGGGTGCACTTCCTTAAGGAAACGGGGTGGGGGAACTGGATGGGCTGGGAGCCCCTGGGGGAGAGGGCGGTTGTGTTCCAGATCGTGATGGGCGCGGCGTGCCTGGCGGTGGCCTGGCAGGTGCTGCGGGCGCTGCTGCTCGGTCGGCCGCCGGAGGGCGGCGGGGGCTGGGAGGGAGGCGGCGACGTTGCCTGGATCGTGCGATGAAAGGGGAGGGGGTCGGTGTTGCGGGTCGATGAGAACTAACGGGTGGGGTTGAACGGGTGGAAGGCGGCGCCCAACGAGGATAACCGGGAGGGTCAAATGGGGGCGAGATTGAGAACACACGCAACGGGGGCTGGTACAATGTACAATGTACCTTGAGCTGATTGACAAAGGCAGGGTCGAGGGTTGGCTACTCCTAAATGGGGACCGTAGGCTCGAGTCCAAGGCGACGGTTTACAGCCTAGCAAAGGGACAGCAGGAGTTCTGTCCCTTATATCCAGTCCGTTCATCAATGTCCTTAATGCAATTCCTGATGCCTCATCACTTCGCATGCGTCCAGTTGTTAATGTTACTCAGCGCTTGGGGAGTTTGACTGCAACAGTATTCGGCAGCACGGGGATGGAAAGAAGGTGAGCAACGTCGTGTTGATCCGGGAGCCAAATGTTGGGATGATGAGGCCCGCAGCAAGCAACGGCAGAGGCGGCATGGTCACTCTCTTGGGCAGGTGGTTTTGGTCGCATGCTGCTCCCTGGCCCCAGTATTTCCTGGCTCGAATCCTGTGTAAGCATTACGATTTTGTTCTTTTCTTGCTTGTTTGTGGCCGCCTGTCCGTTGAAGCTGTGAGCTGCTTTCAACTGGTACTGTGAACTACTCTCATAGGCATGTTGTCGGCGTGGGGCTGCTGGGAAGCGTGCGTGATCATTTTGATTCTGGATCTTCTGGCTTTCATGTGGCGTTTAATTTAGTACCGAAATCGAATTTGGGTAAGGATGTTTCTGTTTTGGTCACAGTAGAAATTGCTTGAAACAATTGTAGAGCTGTATTCATCAAGATATGACAGAACCAGCTGCATTGCCCTGCCAAGTCGAATTTCAGCTATTTTGTGTTGAATTTGTGCTTGCTCTCGACAGCAGTCTAGTTTCCGATCCTAGCTCTGCAGTTCCCTGTGGCTGCTAAATTATCCTTTTTCAGGTTCGCTCGTGGATCAAATGAACTACGAAACGTCCCCATATCATTTGCACCTATTGCAATAGATGCCAACGACAGGGGGACGTGCATTGATGCACCAAAGCCACCTTATCTGCCTGCGGCCATTCGATGCATCCATATGTCCAGCTGGTCAACAGGCTGCCCGCTATAGTGCAAGTAAAAATGTAGCAAATTGGACGATGTTCGTGGCCTCGTTTTTAAGATTTACAGAGAGTGCCAAATGTATGCTTAGTAAGTATTTGGCCCACAAACTACCAGAGTCTGTGTTGTTTCATGTTAGTCAATTTGTTGTGCGCACACCCTTACGTTCTGGCCATGAGTCAACTGGACGTTTTGAAAATGTAGCAAACTATCAACGATCGATGGAAACACACAGTCCCTCCAGCCGAACGCGAGACTGTTTTGCCACCACCCTCCACCCAAATGTGGTTTAAAAAGCCGAGCCCCTCACACTCAATTAATCACACTAGATGTTCTTTCAAGACTCTGTTATCGGATTTGCCAATTGGACGAGGAAAAAGCACGCAAAATGTGAATCGCCCTGCACTCAACCAACCCACCTGCCTCAACAACTCACGGCATGCTCACATGCCCTTTCAACGTTCCTAGTAAACACGGTGCTGCGCGCAATGAATTCATTGCTCGTTCGAACGAGCTCGATTTGCTAACGAACACAGTGCCGTTGTCAACAGCCAAGGCCCAGCAGCATAGTTGTTAGGCGTCCACGTACAACCCCTCTTATGAACATGCACGAGTGAAACATTCCTCTAGTCGCAACCTATGCATACGTTGCACCATCTCAATGTTCTTTGTCTCCACGCTAAACCGAAACACACCACTTCAATTTTACCCTCGCCACATCCCCATCGCTGTCAACCTCCACGGCGCCTCATTCGATGCCTCATCAGCTCCACCTGCCAAGTTATTCACCAACTGACGGACTCCATTCGCCTTTGCACACACATTACACCGATCAGCTCTCCACAGTTTGTCAAACATCTCAACCCGTAAACCACACAAATCCACCTCCACAGCAACAATGTCCGCACAAAGGTCGAACCACAAGAACAACACTTCAAGAAAGTGGCAACCTCATCTTAATGCTTCCGCACTGCTGCACGCACCCATTCCAATTTCTGTTTACACTCTCCTTCTCGCAGCGCTCTTCTACTCCCAAACCGCCTTGTCGCATCCACAACAACCAGGAACGGGGGTCCGCCTCCCCACCATCTTCACGCTACCTCTCACATGGACGTTTCATCCACCTGCTCCATCCTATTCACCTCCCTCACGGCGACCGCACCCTCGTACCCAACAGGCAAAATGTGGGTCACACTGCACTCAACCAATCCACCTCTCTCAGCAACTCACAACGCTCTCAAATGCTTTTGAAACGTTCCTGATGAACATGGTGCTGCGTCCAACGAACCAGCCAACGCCATCGCCAATAGGCCACGCCCAGCAGCATGGTTCGCAGGCGTCCATGTACAAAGCCTCTTACAAACGCACACGACTGAAATATATTTCAATATATACTCTTCTAGTCGCAACCTGCGCATGCGCTCCTCCATCTCGCCGCTCTCTGTTCCCAAGCTAAAACGAAACACAGCGCTTCATCTTCACCTTCGTCGCATCCCCATCGCTGCCAAACCTGCACGACGCCTCCTTCGGCGCCGCATCAACTCCGCCTGTCAAGCCGATCACCATCCCAAAGTTTCCACCCGGCTCTGCACGCGCACTTCACCAATCATCTCTGCACATTTTGTCAGCCAACTCAATCCGAGAACCGCAGAAATCCACCTTCACAACAACAGCGTTTGCACATAAAACAACCACAAAAACAGCACCTCAAGAAAGCGGCAACCTCTTCTGGATTGCTTCGCACCGCTGCACACACCCACTCCGACTTCTGCTCACACTCTCCTTCTCGCAACGCTCTTCCGCTCCCGAGACGCCTTGTCCCATCCACAACCACCACGAATAGGAGTCCACCTCCTCACCATCTTCACGCTACCTCTCACGTTCACGCTTCATTCCACTGCTCCGCCCTGTCCATTTTCTTCACGACGATCACGCCCACGTACCCAGCAGGCCACGTTCACATTCCACAATTGTTGTGGCATCCGTATGCGCATTCAATGCACCTTGTCAAATGCAAATCAACATCGTGCCCCGCGCGACTTGCGCACCGAATTTCCCACACAGACGGATCGCCAACAGCAGATGAGCGAAGAAAACACGGGATCCGTTTCCCATACTCAGCGGTCATTAAAATGGCCCGCACGACGGGGGCATGCACGCCACGGTTATGGCTTTCTGCAGCCAGGATGCGGCTTCCTGCTCCCAGGACCCCGACGCGCCATTTTACAGAGGCATTCAACATCGGATTCCAAATCCTTCTCCAACGAGTTTTGGCGCCACTCAAACAGACATTCCAACACCACTTTCACCAAGCACACCACAACTCCCACACCAGCCGTGCACCTATAAACGCTCGCGCTCCCGCGATAACTCACATCTCCGCCCCCGCACTCATCGCCACAACCCCTTTTAGTTCAAAGCCATGCCACCCACGACCAACCCACTTGGCGTCAAGCAAAGCACCATCGCCAAAGCCCGTACCAAAACTCCTCAATGTGAGACATTCCAGTTAATCATCGTGCTTGCCTTCCTGTTCACAAGTATGCACTGAACATGCACTGCCGATGCCTTGCTGACCCCTGTGTTGGCCAGTTTTCGTCTGAGAATTCCCTGGATTCCACCCAATACTGCCGTCAATCTTGGCCAACGAGGCAACCCCATCGCATAATTCCCATTCGGAATATCTCGTCGCTCACCTGCTCTGTTGGACTATTGCCTCGTTATTAGTGGTCCCCTCCCTCCTTGCTCCGCTTGGGCTGTTTTTCCTCTGGCGCTCCTTTTTGTTGCTTTCCTTTGCCTTCGTTGTCTCCTTCTGTGTTGCGCCTGCTCACCCCATCAATGGGTACGAAATTACACTCAGAACCGTCAGGAAATTCTAAAATAGTCTGATGCAGATAGACAGCAATATATGAAGTGGTGCTCATCAAAAATGTGTCTGCTGGTGAGGCAATGCACAGAAACGAAGGTATATTCTAATCACATTTTAGTTGCTGCATAGCTCAAAAAGACGATGAAGCCTTGAAAGAAGATGTGGAGAGGATTGAATGAGAACGTGAGAAAATTGAAGAAATCGAGAATGCTCTCACAACATTGCAAGAACCAAAATGGACTACCCCGTGCCTCAGCTGCCTCAGCGCCGCTATTTTGATAAGAGCCCTGACTACGAGATCTATACGAACTCGACCCCGACTGCCCTCACACAGAAAATTCTTCATAGACAGGCAGCGCTGTTTGGACAAGAGGTGAGTTTACGCCCAGTAAAAAAAACAACGAGATGGATACGATGCTCAGCAACCTCGGTGTCATGCACGAAGATTATGCACCTCTTCCCCAAGACATCTGTGCCACCATCATTGAGAAGACAACGCCATGGCTGGAGATGTATCGCACCTCCTTCCCCAACGATCCAGTACCCGCGAGTGGCAAGCAAAGGAGCAAACTCATTCGCCCTGGCCATGCTCAGGACACCACTCTCACGAGCAGGGCCCCGTCTTACCTCATCGACCAAGCGATCAAGTCTTGTTGCATTCCTGTCAGAATGCAAGGTGTCCAGTGCAAGGTCCATTTTTAGGGTTGATGATGGCATCGACTTCGTCATTGTCAGGAATTTCCTGGCAATGACGAAGTCGATGCCATCATCAACCCTAAAAAGGTGAACACCTTATATGTTGCTCAACACAACTTCTTTTCTACCCTTCGTCTGTGGTACAATAGCTGACAACTAGAATTCCTGCATCAGGGACAAACTGACAGTCGGAAAGGTGCCAAACTTGATGCGTACCTGTGCACTGGCGCACACATATTCATTCTTCAATATACATGTGAGCCCCCTTGACATTGTGCATATTGTGTGTACATACCGTGTGTATTTG